AGCAGCGTGGCCAGCTTCGTCTTGCGTACGTGGCCACTAGGGCCAACACTGCTGATATATTCACCAAGGCACTTCCGCCTGGTGATCATCAGCGCTTCTCTACTGTGTTAGGCCTTGTGCCTACTTTGCCTCACTTGCTCACTGCGTGACTTTGCTTGTACTGTGATCTTTATATATACCTGCATGCTTACACTTGCTAGGGTATGATCACTGTATTGTTTGTTCTCTTTTATATAACTCTACATGTGAACTGGCCTTGTGGCCCTTTGCTTGTGCTCGGACTGTGTGGTGACTTTGTGATCCACCCTGAGCTTGCTTTGCTTTTCTTGACTATTCTTGTGACCACTTGTTCTCCCCCACTTTGCCTACGGGGGTGTGTCAGAATGTTATATTGCTTACATTTCTGTAGGCTATAGTGGGGTAGCCCATAAGGGGTACAACCCAATTAGGGTTAGTACTTGTACCCAACTCTTTCATAGTTCATTCATTCTCGTTCATTCTTCTGACAGTCACCTTTGACGAGTCTGTCTGTTTCTACAGGCTACACCCGCACGCGTTCCACCCGGTCCCCCTAGCGCCTCTTTTCTTAGTACTAGTCCCCCCCCCCCGGTAGACCCCCTCCACAGGGTCCTGCTCCCTCAGGTGTGTCTCAAGTAGACCCACCCCCCTTGGTTGAGCCTTTGGAGATCTCTTCTGACTCCTCTTGCCCAGCTAAGGGGGGTGAACCCGCCGCTGACAGCACGGCGGCCACTCGCCGCTCTCCACGCTTGGAGACCCCCCCTGGTTTTCCGCCTCGGCCGTCTTCGCCGCCTCCGCATCCTTCTGCTGTGGACTCTGGAGCTGAGACTGCTGGTGCTGAGCGTGGGGGTGCTGAGACAGAGGGTGAGGGTTCTGGGGGTGCTGCAACTGGGGGTGCTGCGACTGGGGGTGCTGGTTCTGGGGGTGCTGCGACTGGGGGTGCTGGTTCTTGGGGTGCTGGTTCTTGGGGTGCTGTGACTGGGGGTGCTGACTCTGGGGGTACTGCGAGTCCTAGTGGCGGTGGAGCTGTGGGTGACCCTGCTGGAGGTCCTAGAGCTGGACAGCCACCGCAGCCTGATCTACTTGAGACACTCTCGCCGCAGGCGATTCGTGTGTGGATCGTTTGGCGAGGCAGTCCTGGTGGTGGAGGGCACGGTCCTACTGGTGCTGGAGCTGCTAGTCCGGGAGGTACTGCTGGTGCTGGAGGTACTGGAGGTATTGCTGGAGGTGCTAGAGGTGCTGGTGGTGTTGGAGGTACTAGAGGTGCTGCTGGTGCTGGAGGTGTCGGAGCTACTAGTCCTAGAGGTGCTACTAGTGCTGGAGGTACTAGAGGTGCTGCAGGTGCTGAAGGTGCCAGAGCTACAAGTCCTAGAGGTGCTACTGGTGCTGGAGGTGCTGGACCTACTAGTCCTGGAGGTACAGCTGGTGCTGGAGGTGCTGCTGGTGCTGGAGGCGCTGGAGCTGGAGGTACTGGAGGTGCTGGAGCTGCTGGTCTTGGAGGTGCTCGTACTGGAGGTGCTAGAGCTGCCGGAGCTGGTGGTGCTGTTCGTGCTGGAGGTGCTATTGGAGCTGTTGGCAATGGAGGTACTGCTGGTGCTGGAGATGCTGGAGCTGCAGGAGCAGGTGGTGCTGCTGGTGCTGGAGGTGCTATTGGAGCTGCTGGCACTGGAGGTGCTGGAGGTACTGTTGGTGCTGGAGGCACTGGAGCTGGAGGTACTGGAGGTACTGGAGGTGCTGGAGCTGCTAGTCCTGGAGGTGCTCGTACTAGAGGTGCTGGAGCAGTTGGAGCAGGTGGTGCTGCTGGTGCTGGAGGTGCTAGAGGTGCTACTGGAGCTACTGGCACTGGAGGTGCTAGAGATACTGCTGGTGCTAGAGGTCCTGGCTCTGCCGGAGCTCGTGGTGGTGATGGTGCTGGAGGTGCTGGAGGTGCTACTGGAGTTGCTGGTGCTGGAGGTGCTGGTGCTGCTGGCGCTGGAGGAGCTGGAGCTGCTGGTTCTGCCCTGCGCCGACTGTTTTTCTACCCGCAGCCGCAGTCGTCCCTGCCGCCGCATGACTCGGTCCTTCGCCAGGTTCTTAGTCTCCCGTCTTACACTGGCCTCACTCCACCTCTCCTATGTTCACAGACAGACCAGTATCCGCCACAGCTACTACCTGGCTCCTCGCTGCCTGCTCCTGCTCCTCACACTGAGGTGACTGAGTCCCTGACTGAGCGTCGTGAGCCTGAGACTCGTGCTTTCACACCTGTTTGTGCTCGTCGTGTCGCCCGTCCTCGTCCTCCTGCTGTCCCAGGCACTCACGGTATGGCACTTCGTCCTTCCTTTGTTCCACAGCGTGTTCTCCTGCCTGAGCCTCCCGCGTCCTCTCTTCCGCACGTTCCTAACCCTGAGTCCGACCTTGCTCGTGCTGCCAGTCCTACTGTCACTCTCTCCTCACTACTGTCGTCACTGACCCTGACCTTGAGTCTACTGCAGCGTTTGCCCTAGTCATTGAGCTAGTCGACTTTGCAGCTAGGAGTCGTCTCGACTACGTCACGAGTCTTGTCACTGAGTCTGAGTCTGTCTGTCCTCAGTCCGTCGGGGGTGAGCGTGCCCTTAGCAGTGATGTCCTTGAAGACAAACAGTTTGAGCTTTAGTGTCTTGCGGCCGCTTTACCTCGTTTTGCATCCATACTGCTTTGCCCTGAGGGAGACCCGGGTACACTTGACATCCCTACCCCGCGCTCTTACGCTGAGGCGATCACTGGTGAGTACTCCTCTCAGTGGCAGACAGCCATGGACGCAGAGATGGCTTCCTGGAAGTCCACGGGCACCTACGTCGACGAGGTTCCTCCTCCTGGGGCGAACACAGTCGATGGCACGTGGATTTTCATAGTGAAGCGGCCGCCGGGTTCTCCGCCTGCCTTCAAGGCGCAATATGTTGCTCGAGGCTTCAATCAGCGATAGGGGTCGACTTCTTCCATACCTTCTCCCCCACCCCGAAGATGACGACTCTTCGGGTGCTGCTGCACGTTGCAGCACAGCGTGACTACGAGCTGCACTCCCTCGACTTCTCCACAGCTTTCTTGCAGAGCAGCCTTCACGAGGAGATCTGGCTGCACCGCCCACCTGGCTTCACTGGGTCGTTTCCTGAAGGTACCCAGTGGAGCCTCCGGCAGCCAGTCTACGGTCTCCGCCAGGCGCCCCGAGAGTGGCACGACACACTGAGGACTACACTTGCGGCTCTTGGGTTCCCTCCTTCCTCTGCTGACCCATCGCTGTTTCTACGCATCGACACTACCCTGCCGCCGTTCTTCGTTCTCGTGTACGTCGACGACTTGGTTTTTGCTACTGCTGACACTGAGGCGCTGGCCCTAGTGAAGGCGGAGCTGCAGGAGAGACACACCTGCACTGACCTGGGTGAGCTGCGTAGCCATCTTGGCTTGTAGATCACCCGGGACAAAGCACGGCGCACCATCACCCTGACTCAGTCACACATGGTGCACCAGGTCCTTCAGCGCTTCGGCTTCCAGTTCTCCTCGCCACAGCCCACTCCTCTGTCTACCGGCCACTCGCTCTCAGCTCCACCTTCGGACGAGTCCGTAGAGCCGAGTGGTCCGCACCCAGAGCTTGTGGGTTGCCTCATATACCTGATGACATGCACACGACCTGACCTCGCGTACCCTCTCAGCCTCCTGGCTCGCTACGTGGCTCTCGGTAGACACCGAAAGGTGCACTGGGATGCTGCGAAGAGGGTACTGCGTTACTTGTGCAGTACATCGGGCATGGGGCTCGTGCTTGGAGGACAGGGTTCAGTGGTACTCACAGGACACTCTGACGCTTCTTGGGCCGACAACCAGGGTTTGGTGATCATCAGCGTTTCTGCACAGCTCTTGGGCTTGTGCTCACTCTGCCTCACCTGCTGGTTGCTTGACTTACTCTTGTTGTACACTGATATATATCTTTTTACCTGCTTATTTACTCTTACTAGGTTGTGATCAGTGTACTGCCTTGCTATTATAACTCTGCATGTGAACTGGTCTTGTGGCCGTTTGCTTGTGCTCAGATTGTGTGGTGTCCTTGAGATCCACCCTGAGCTTTGCTTTGCTTTGTTCTCTTGCTTGACTGGTCTTGTGACTGTTCGTTGTGTTTGCTATCCTCCACTTCGCCTATGGGGGAGTGTCAAATTACATTTGTATGTGTAGGCTGTAGTGGGGTAGCCTCTACTGATTACAACACTTCAGGTCAAACCTAGTACTTGTACTCATCCTTGCTCGCTAGTCAATCATTCCTGCACAGTTATTCTGACAGCTCCGCGCGAGTTGAACCGTCCTAGCATCTCTATTTCGCGTTTGAAGGGGATGGTGACAGCAAACAGGACGGTTACGAGCGTTGCTGATACGTCCTCCACGTATTCAGTTAACATGAAGCCCGCTAATGGCGTCTCCGTCATGGTTTCACCCGACAAAATCACTATTGCTCCGGGTAAGAAGGTCACCTTCATGGTGACCTTCAAGGTGACCAAGCAGTCTAACAACACTCAGTCTAACAACACTCAATTCGGAAGTCTCACACGGGCCGATGAGAAAGGCCACCCAGTGAGAATGGTGCTTGCTGTTCAACCCTTGCAGAAGTGAGTTTGTATGTGAGTGTTAACTTGTATATTCTTAGTGGGCTGATTATTGTTGCTGTGTTTCTGTAAGTGCCAAACTTCTTGATGCTTCATCTTTAATAATTACTCCTTTGATGCTGTCTAATGAAGGTTCTTTTGATTTTTCATTCGAGCATCGAATTCAACAAATGCCTTACATGCTCACTTTCCTTTCCGTTCAATTTCTGGTCAGTGTGGACAACACAGATGTCGAACTGGGGATGGACACTGGGAGGGTAATTCAGAAAGGCCACTCCGAGAGGACACGAAGAATATTGGAAAAGTCTTAAGGTATCGAGTCTTAGTAACAATATGACGTATATGTACATATACATAGTAAGGCACTTAGGAGCACTTTCACTCTTCATCGTTAATGAACTTCCCTGTACCAGGGTTAATCGCCGCCACGAAGAAAAACGCGATGCTCGCAAGCAGCAGTGGCTCCAACTCCCAAACCGGCAGGCCCGTCTCGATATTCAACTGCGCCAAAGCGCCCCGCCCAGTCACCACCTCGCCGATCAGCGATGCGGCAAACCCTAGCTGCGCCATGCGCCCCACGAATAGCTCGTTCGCCTTGGTGAACCCGAACAGGGGCCCGTCCTCGCTCAGCCCAAGCGCCAACTTGATGTTCCCGGGGCTCGCGGCCGGCCCCGCCGGCTCATCGTCCACGAATCGCCCGCGATCACCCAGCCCGCCGATCGCGCCGAGTACGGTGAATGCGATGAAGAAGAGGAGGAGCGGCTCGGCTTCCGTGATTGGAATGCCGGTCTCGAGATTGAGCTGCGAGAGAATGCCCTGCCCCGTGACGGCCTCGCCAAGGAGCGACGCGGCGAAGCCGAGCATCGCGACGCGACCCACGAAGAGCTCGTTGGCCTTGGTGAAGCCGAAGCCGCCCGACGTGCCGAAAATTCCATCCTCTGTGCGGAGCTGCTTCTTAACGGGGACGTTCTTAGCGGGAGCGGCGGAATTGCTGAAGTTTAGGAGGGCGGAGACGCTGAGCCCGCGAGGGGCGATCGGCGCGGCAGCCACTGAATTGCGGGTGGAAAGAGCAGCGCCCTTCATTGCGGTGCTGAATGAGAGAGCCGCGACGGCTTGACGCGCGACGAGGAAGGAAGCCATATCGAGAGTATGTGTGTGGGGACTGGTGGAGAATTTGAGGCTCGGATGAGTAGTATCAGTAGTAAATCTTGAAGATGTGAAGTCAATCGTTGATATGATTAAGAGATGATCTCATCTCAATATATGTGTCTTGAACTCCGTCGAGTCGCGAATCGGAACAGAGTGCAGCTCCTCGAGAAAAGCCCACATTAAAAAATGACCATCAAATTCATAAGTGAGACGTGGTCGAGATCTACGGCTGCCATGCTGGAGGCAATTGTTTTGAACTCTCGCGTGGAAGTATTACACGTCACCCTGACATGGGAGCTTTCCATGCTGGCACAAACGCATTTTCTTGCTTTCCATACTAGAGGCCGAAAATCGTACACATCAGATCAGTGACCTTTCTCGAGACTCCAGAACAAATTGGCTGGGACGCTAGTGTTGACCTCCTCTGACCTGATTTGTTGGAAGAAGTGCCTGCCAGCTCCGCACCCTAGGAGCAGCATCAGGATCTGGAGCAAGTACAGTAAACAGCTCAATTGGCTGATGCCTTGTACATAAATACCATGACAGGGTATACAATAATACAATACAGAGACTTAGTATTACAAAGCCGACTCTATCTTGTTGACGATATTGCCTGTACAACAATAGGAGACCTCACTACGTGCCCTTCATCATCTTCCCAATGAAGGCTTCCAAACTGGAAGTTCCCGCACGGTCTAGTGACGTTCAACACCACCCGATACGTGACTGCTTTTCCAGGGAAAATGGTGAAATGGTCTGGGTGAACCGTGACCCGAACTCCTGGAGGCTCAGTCACCCGTACCTTGTACGTGCATGTTGAACTTGCAGCGCTCACCACCGTTCTAAACACCTCTACCACCCCTTTCAATCTCGCCACGGAAATCGTTGGTCGATTCAAATTCCACGCCTTCTTCCGATAAAGTTTCGCCCCTGGAAATTCCTTCCTCGCTGCCCGATAATCCTGCCCGGCAAGAAAATTCACATAAGCCCATCTCCGGGCATTGTAGGTCAGCCCAGGGTCCAAAGCCCTCTGGGGAAACACATGCCCGGATCCCATCTCCCAAGGGGTAGCAACACGACCGCGCTCATTCAAAATTCTCCTCCCCTTGGTGTTCCTGGTTATGGCAGTGGTCATAATGGCAGACATGACCTGCGCGGGGCTCCACTTGGGGTGCTTCTGCATGGTGAGAGCAGCAATGCCCGCTAAGTGAGGCGTCGCCATCGACGTCCCCGACAGCTGCGACGCCTCCCCCCCTCGCCCGCCTCTCCCTCCCGCCTTCCCTGGGACCGTGCCGACCCACGCCGCCCAGAGGTCGACCCCTGGGCCGATGATGTCGGGCTTTAAGAGGCTGTTGGAGGCGTGGCCTGGGGGAGGGCGGGACCAGGGGCGGTGGAGAGGGCCGGAGGAGGAGAAGATGGCCACGACTGGAGCGGCTGGAGCAACGGTGGCAGACGAGGGTGCTGCTGTTATGGATGGAGCATGTAGTGACTCAGCGGTGGTACTGCTGCTTGTGCTTCTATTGCCGCTGCTGGTTGTGGTGGTGCCTGCTGAATTTGCCCCTACTGTGCCCATGACTGCTGCAGTGCTTCGTTTTGTTTCCGCTTCCTGATGATTTTCAGTTTCTGCTTCACTGCTCCCGTATTCTTCGTGTGCTGCTGGAGAGGTGGCGAGAGACACGCCTCCTCGTGTAATGGAGCTGGCAAGAGGGGTAGAGAGGAGGGAGGAGGGATAGGGAGGATGAGCGAGGGGGGAAGGGATGGGGAGGGAATGGGGCTATGGTGGTGGTGGGAGGGGGGCACACGAAGGCGAGAGGGCGAATGATGCCGTAACTCACCTGGCCCCCACTGTGAGGTAGAAGGGAGAAAAGTTGGCGATGGTGCGGTATGAACCGAGGGGGTTTGAAAGAGGCGCCCCGTTGTTGCCCGCTGACATCACCACCGTCACCCCGGCCTGCCAGGAAGTAGAGGAGAGAGGAGGGGAAGGATCTGGTGAGAGAGTTGCCCTCACAAAGTGACTGATGCTGCCTGATAACATGAACACTAGTATCTTGGCCTGCTGTCATCAGAATACGGAGGCGGAGAGAGATATGGAGAGCACATGCACGCCGTCACCCACAGCCTGATTCATTCCCCATCCAACCCCCCACCCCATGCTGTGGCGAGAGACTTACGATGGCCAGAAGGCCTTGTACATGCTTCCCTCCCCCCCTCTCCCCCCTTCCCCCATTTCCAGGCCAAAGCTTCCCTCCTGCTGCTGTGAGTCAACTCAAGTCAACGCACCAGATTCGCGTTCATGTATGCCACGTCATCAATATACGTGGCTTCAGGGTCGTCGGCCGAGAGAGATATGGACATCACATGCACGCCGTCCGCTACAGCCTGATTCACCGCCGCCAGAAGATCCGCAGATTCGCCGCCCAGAGCGCGCATCTCCGGGCGGTCGCCTTGGGAATACCAGAAGACCTTGTAGGCTGCCAGCCGCGCTGCTGGCGCCATGCCGCTCGCCCCGCCGCCCGCCATGGGCACGCCGCTGTTGCCCGCTGCGGCGCTGGAGTGACGGGGGGAGGGAGGCGAAAGGGGGAGGATCTATGAGATGAGTGGTGGGGATGTTTGAGCGAGGGACAGTGAGGGTATGGGTGGGTGGGTGGGGTTGGAGTGGGTGTGGATGGTGGCACTGGGGTGGTGCTTGCTAGTTACGAGGAAGCAGAAGTTCATGCGCGGTCCTGTGGATAAGGGAAGGTGAGGAAAAGGATGGGCAGGGGGGGATGGGAAGGGAGCAGGAGGAATGCTGGCATACCCTGCACACCAGGTGCGACGGGCGAATCTATCTTTGAGGCAGCGCTAAAAGGGTGAGACGGCAATGAAAAAGGAGCAAGGGGAAGGGGAATGACCGAGCAAGGGATATGCTGCCGACTTACCCCGCACACCAGGTGCCGTGGCCGAATCCATCTCGCGGCGACAGCCAATCAGTACTAAGGTCCGGTTTCCCGTGCTTCGCGCGGAATGCCGCGTTGAAGACCCTCGCCCCGATTATCTTGTTGTTGCACCGGAAGTCTGACGTGGCATCGCACGATCCTGACCATCCGTTTGGCCGGCTGGCGCTGAAATTCTTGTCGCTAAACGACGGATGCTCGGGCCAAATTCCAGAGTCTATTACCCCCACCACCATCCCTTCCCCCGCCCTCTGCTGGCCCCCAAGCGCGCTCCACGTTCCCCCGCTTCCGCGGTTGGCGCGGTTGCGCGCGCTTGCGAGTTCCGCGAGCCCTAGGAACGCGGGGGAATCGATGGTGTCGGGGCGGAGGGGGCGGCTGGGGCGCGCGGAGGCGACGGCGGGGTGGCGCGCGAGGCGGCGGAGTTGCGCGGGGGTGAGTAGCGCGGCGAATCCGTTGGTGACGTGCTTGTAGCTGATAGGTGCGCGGAGTGGATGGGGAGAGAGGGAGGGCTGATTCGTTAATTCCGCTTAATTCCCAAATTCTTTCGCCCGGATGCGTATGAGAAGGACATGTAACGTTCTGTAAGGGGGAAACTGTTTTTTGGTGGGTGCTGTGTGCGACATGTGCCTCACCTGTACGCGATATTATCAGCCGCGATATCGACTTCCGAAGCAACCTCCGCCTGCAACCGCGCCAGCATCTCCGCGTACGCGCGCACGTGCGGAGCGCGCATGCTCATCCGCACCCGCCCAGCCGCGGCTCTACAAAATTCAAGAAGGAAAGAGAATGCTAAAGGATTTCATGGGGATTGCTTGAAGTTTTCCCCTGCCGTCAATGCTTGTGGTTTATCATGATGAATGCTGAACAGTTGACGTTTCTTGGAGGAATCATTGATTGGTTTGTTTCAGCACTCTTCAGCAGGTTCGGCAAGCAGTGCGCCAGCATGCTGCCAGCATTGCTTATTCTCACTATAGCAACTGAACTAATCATTAAGCGCCTGTTAATAACGGATCACTATCACAATACACGAAACTTTTTATATTCAATACTAACAAGAAAAGGCAAAACACAAAATACAGTACAGCTTACAAAATGGATATGGGTGGTATCAAATCGTTACAATGAAATGAAATTCATTCTCTGCTAAAAAAATGAAATGATCCGTATCTCATATACTTCAACTCAACCGTACACCAATAACAACCATAACCACAATACCAGGTCTGCCTTGTCACGGAAAAGCAGAAACGGACTTCCTACAATATACCCACGTACAACATACAGTCAACACATATGTATCATGCATTAATAAACAGCTTATTTCGGGCATGACGAGGGGTCTGCACTCATCAGCAACACACGCAGCAGCGTTGGGTCAACACAGCAATGGTAACGTGCCATAAAACGAACGTGAACCTACCGATAAAGTAGGCCATTCATGTGGTTGGTTTATGAGTCGCTGGGAACTCCTCCAGGAACCGTGATAACCTTGGTGAAAATATGGCGATAAGTCTTCTGAAAAGTAAATACAATTAGGCGACGGTATTCTCGGAGGCTTGACGATAATGTCGGAAGTCGCTGGTATAGAGTGTAATCATGCGCGCTTGTACTCTGCAACGAAATAGGCAGTAACAAGGTTAAATTAGCCAATGCGTTCTTGGCTGGGACAGAAACTCACCTTATGTTGCATATAACTAGACCAGCGAGCGTATGGCGTGAGACGGTAGCGTCACCGCGAGATTCGTGCAGCCTGGGCGAAGTTCACGGCAGAAATCGTGCGCCAAAGCGGTAATTTTATATCCTGCTGGAGGGAGGACGTAAGAACAGAATAGATACACATTTCAGGAACGTCTGCGTAAGGAAGGAACAGATATGCAGCAGCCATGGAACCGTGCAAGCTAAGAGAGTGTAGAAAATGGAGCATGAAAATCTTCACAAGTGAAAATGAAAGCATGCTGAGGTGTTGGTGATTTTTGAGTGGCGAGGGAGAGAAATGTCAACTTCTGCACGGTGTTGGGTCGCACGCGAAGATTGTCGAAATGTTGGCGACCTGGTTTTTTGGGGTTGTCTGTTCGCCACACCAGGCCAAACCCATCAGCGCTGTCACATCTGATGGTGGACACCGCACCTTCAGGGTGACTGTTTCTGACGCGTCAGCAACATCTTATCTGGTTCAATTCTCGCTATAGTTGTGTTTGTTATCACGCGATGAAACATCAGCATCCGCGATTTCAGATTCCCTGGGTTCGTGAAAATTCGGAAGAGCATGTGCACCACTCTACATCCAGCATAACCGAAATAGATTTGCTGTATCAATCGAAATTGGCACGTGCGGGGCTGGGTTCGACTGCGAACTGCTAGAAGCTGCAGAGACAATGGGGAAGGGGGGACATAGTTTCTGACATGTGTTCCAATGTTTCAGCACTGTTCGCCCCCCTAAAGAATGTTTCAAGTAACCCTAGTCATTGCTTGTTCATTGGTCAGTGTGCAAAGATGGGGAAAACCGAGTTTTGGGCATGGGATGTGGCGTCTCACATTTTGCAGAGGGGGTCTCCCGGAGAGCGCTCTGGCGTCGCCTTCAGACTGCTCGTATTTTCAAGCGTCATATTCCCAGAGCTGCTGTCTACTTCGCTACGCGAGCTCACGGAGCCGGACATCGCGCCAGCCGGCCGCTGGAGTATCGCCCATGAGTCGTCTTCCCCGTCGCCACGTGCATCGTCATCGCTGCTGGTAGGTACGGTGGCGGGATAACCGGCGATTCCGCCGCGGTATGCGGCGAGCGGAGGCGCGGAGCCCAGGCGCACGATGTACATACTGGCGTCCGCGTCGTGAGATGCCCCGGGGGGCGTGATTTGCGGTTCGTCAGATTCGTGGGATCGTGTGGGCGTCGGCAACGCTGCGAGAAGCAGTGACGATACGAGAATTACAAGGATAGCCATTCCGGCAGATCTGCGCTAACGACGGTTGATCGCTTCTTCTACCAAGTAGTAGCGGCGTCGGCTAAATCGTACGTGGGAGGACTACCTGGTATATTAGAGCGGATGGGCCGGCATCAAGGTAAGTGATTTTCGTGCCCACTACACGAGCGTATGCTATGTCCGTACACATATCGCACGCCGAGCCGATTCATACGGTCAAAGCTGTGTGTGTGGCGTCACAGGTGTCGGGTCGCATTGCTTACTGTTTGTGGTGTGCAGAGAGTGTGCTTAGAGGTGTGATGCCATGTGGCTGGATCTTGCTTTCCGCGAAGCGATAGCTGAAGTGACAGTTTCAGGTTTTGAGGGGTTGGTTGGGAATGGGATGGGTAAAGTGAGAGTAGTGTGACGACGATTTGGGGATTTGGGGAGGCCGGCTCGCAAATTCGGTTGGCGAGATGAGCTTCGAGCCTCGTTATGCTTGTAACCTGGGCGGCTGGATTCGCAGATCGCGTTAGCCACTTGTCTGGAAATGCCAGCAGCTAATTTTGTGGCGAAAATCGCAGCTGTTCCAACGTGTTGGGACGAGTTTGGGGCGAACTCCCCACTAGTGAGTGATGGTGACATGTGCGACACCGTCGTTCCGCTAACCGGATCGGACTTCGAGCGAACCGCGCTTCGTGCGAGTACACCCAGCAAGTTTGCATGTCTGCGCTGGCACGATGAACTTACCTGCCATCTATACTCTCAATCTCAAGATTACCTTGGCTAAGAAACAAAGTATCGCCTAAAATGAAACAGAGTGGATCATAAGACTTTGGCGAGAACACTCTTTGGGAGTTATGCAAATGCTTGACAGCATGCAATGGCGGGCAGGCACCACAGGTACGGTAAACCAAATGGTCAACCAGTTTCAACCGAATATGTTTTATCTTTGAACCGTGATTGACCCCTCTGGAAAGCAGATTTGCAAAAGCAACACGAGTTTTCCTGATTCAGTCATTGGTTGATGGACGACGTGCTAGTCCATTCAAACTGACAACTGACACCATGTTTTCCCGCATGTTTCTTAGGATGAGCTGCTGCTGCTTTGGAGTATCCTAGAGAGAAAGAAACCCGACTCGATACGCGACAAAATGAGATATGACCACCCACCGTCCCGTCAAGCACGGTAGCCCGCCTCACCATTGTCGTCGTACAGCAGCTTCACACAGTCGAATTTGCAAGTTGACACCCGTACTAGCCACGTGCTCTGCAAGGTGAAAGGCGAACTCCCCACCGAATCCGGTGAACCACCTTTCACCGCACTGCACCACGGCTAACTTCGCAGCGGTGTGAGGCCCCGGTTCTTGAGCTTGACCGTTTCGCACCATGGCAAAACCGATTAGACCGCAAAGCACGCAAAATAGAAGCACGAGTTGGATAAATGCCCCCTTGCTTGACTATTTTTTCGGGGGGGCAGGATGATCCCCCACGAGACGCGGTCGTGCGTCCGCGTCGCCGCCATTGGCTGCGCAAGGCCGACTAGCTCGCGAATCCGCGCCACTTTGCTTCCGCGTCTAGCGGCGGTCGTTGTCGCTCTCATGCCACGTATCGTCCAGCCCGTGATTCTCGCCGACTCCCAAGGTGCGCCACGAACACGCAGCCCTCCTCATCAGCCGCATTCTTCTTACTAACCAAGCCGTAGGATGTATTCTCGCGCGAGCCACGCTCTCTCATACTAGACCTTAAGCGTGCCGCGCCCAAGCAGCTGTCCAGTAGTCTCTGCCAGTAGCGCCAAAGCCACTAGATGTTGCGAGGACTCCGAGTCGCGTCTCCCGTGGCGACTCGCCACGGGGCCGTGCTGCCTGTCGTTCGTTCAGCTCTCCCTCTCACAGACCGTATTGCTGCTGTGTCCGCTGCGCCTGTCTCCCTCAATCTCCCCGCAATGGTCGCGCAGCCGCGGCGCTGAAGGAGTGCGCGGCGGAGTGGGGGATGCGCGCGACGGTGTGGGCGCAAGGCGCGGACTGCGCGCACGCGGAGGGGGTCACATGCGACAAGGACGGCATGGTCTCGTCGCTGTCAGTGCCTCGGGGGACGGCAGCGCGCAGGGGGGAGGAGCCGGGGGAAAGCGCGGGGAGCGGGGGGGGATGGTGAGGGGAGCAGCGCGGCATAGCAGATGCGCATGGGCGAAGGGGGCGAATGCTATGAGAGCGAGAGCCGGGCGCATGCACGCTGCTGCTGCTGCTGCTGCTGCTGGTGCTGCTGCTGCTGCCGCTGCCGCTGCCGCTGCCGCTGCTCCATATGCATGCCTTGTCACCTTGTGGGCTATGACACTCTCCTCGCGTGCTGCATCGTTGCTCGCTCTTCATCCCACTTCCACAACTCCCCCACCGCCGCTCACCTCTCACCATGCCCTCTCCCCTCTTCGCAACAACCCCCCTCTGTGCACCACGCAGGTTCCTCAACGCTGGGGGCCTCACCGGCCTATTTCTGGGGCACCTCAGATAGTACTCTCCGCACGAACCTCCCTCCTCCACCCCTCCTCTGTGCATCACGCAGGTTCCTCAACGGTGGAGGCCTCCCGGGCTCCATCCCCCCCGCCTGTGAAGGGCCTCACAGACCCGTGGGGCCCCCTGAGTTGAGGCACCTCAAAAGTCGTCTCTCTACCCGCAATCCTGCCCACTATGCAGGATCCTCCTCGGTGGGGGCCTCTCGGGCTCCATCCCCCTCGCTCTCACCACGCTCTCCCGCCTGCACTCGCTCTGAGTTGCACGCACGCTGTGAGTCGCACATATGAGTTGCGAGGAGCAGTGAGAGGCGGCAGTGAGAGGTGGCAGTGAGAGGCAACAGTGAGAGGCCGCACTGTCTGCCTGTGCGGATACTGTGCCCTGTGCCTTGACTAAGATGTGTACTCGCATTCATGTGCGTATGTGCACTCGTGTGTGCATGTATGTGTGCATGTATGTGTGCATGTATGTGTGCATGTATGTGTGCATGTATGTGTGCATGTATGTGTGCATGTATGTGTGCATGTATGTGTGCATGTGTGCATGCATGTGTGCATGCATGTGTGCATGCATGTGTGCATGCATGTGTGCATGTGTGCATGCATGTGTGCATGCAATGTATGCATGCAGGAGTGTGAGTGACAACCACCTCATGGGCCCTGTCTTCCCCATCCTTGCCTGCATTCCATCGCTCGCCCGACTGTAAGCCCCCACTGAATCGTCATACCCTTTTCCACTCACCCGCTGCACTGCTTGTCTCAGGCGGCCCCTGCCCCTGGGGAGCTCATGCTCTGCACCACCTGCATCGTACCATGCTTCTCCTCCCGTTGCTCCCTTTCTATCCTCTACCCATCGCTCGCCCCCACCGTTCTGCCTCCACCTTCCCACGCCT